GTTTACAAAACTTCTCTTCTCGCCGAGTATACCTCAAAATTTAAAAACAAGATTATACAACCAGTGCATGTTGCCTGTGTCAACATATAGATTTAAGACGTAGTCCTTCACTGCTGACCGTATGAGGAAGCTCAGGGACCTATGGAGAGGACTATGCGCGCAGTTACTCTGTATGATTGACTTAGTAATGAGGATCCCACTAAAATAAATAAATGTGGAAAAGTTGTCGGCTTTGTCGATAAAAGAGTTGACACTTTAACGGGTGCTAACCTTCATAGCAATAAATTAATAGAATCGGGCGTTACTTTGCAAAAATTAATTGTATTAAAGATGTTAAAAATTAACTAGCTAAAATACGCGTAATAACATAAAATGATGTCTCTTACTTTATTTGAAGAGCACCTCCTCCTTGACTTAGCGGTAAAAAGGGGAGGTGCTCTGAGGATGCCTCGTTTAGAGGCGAAACAAGTGTCATATTATCGAGGCGGTGTGTCTTTCCTAGTGTAGTGGTGCTGGGATAAGTGGTGTCGGGGATAGTGCACGCAATTAAGGGAATAACGGATAATTTAATTTTATTATGCGGATCTTAGTTAATTAATTTATAACATATTTAATTCATAGCAGTTGCTTAAATTATAAGATCTATTGCAACGTAAAACGTACTTGCAACTGTTATGGAGCTTGGCGCCCTTTCAGATCTCAACTATTTTATTGGCGAAGCCGACAACCCTAAGCGTTGTTAGTACTGAACTTGGCTCCCTTTTTGGTGGGATGTCATTAATTTAAATTTTATTTTAACACAAACCATGACCTTTTAAGGGGATTTTTGGCTTTACGTATAACGGTCTTCATTTTTTTATTTAAATTATAATACAGGACAGGATTATAGCGCCCAAGTGTATACATAAGCACTGGTGCACTCTCTATTCTCTCGTTCTCATTTCTCGTTGTCCGATAGGACGGTAATCCGACACGACCGCAGAGAGATTAGGCGAAGGACGGAACGGATTTACTAGCTTTTCGAGGCACGGGGGGCGAAACACCGCCAACTTCCCTAGCGCTACTATATGTAAGAAATTTTCAACAGAAAAATCCAATAACTGATTTTTGTCCGACCCGGGATTCGAACACAGGACTTCTAAGATCAGCAATTGCTTTTACGACCAAAGAGCCATCAATTTAAACTATAAAAATGATTTAAACCCAGGTCCTTTGTCTAGATATCTGCAATAGAAACAAGCAGAAGTGGCACTGGGCCGGCAATATAGCTCGAAGAACCGACAACCGAGGGGGAAGGAAAATTTTCGAAGGGCAGTCTCGTACCGGTAGGCGAAGTGTAAGGCGACCCTTTACAAGATGGTAAAACCTTTTACAACCTGGTAAGAGATACAGGTGACTCAGGACTGTGTTTTGTGGCATTCCTTGGGGAGGATGGATAAAAATAAACATCAGTCTATGGATGGATTGAACAGTCGATGAATGTAGGTGATTCGAACCGTCCTTTGGCATACCTTGGGTGAGGCCTATGCTTAGTGGTGGACTTGCGAAGGGTTGCAATGACGATGAATTATTTGTTAATAGTACACACAATATTATGATAACAGATAAAATGGGTTTAACATAACCCGTCTTTGCCCCGCTGAGGCGGATATTTTTTTATAGAATTAGGGTGACAAACGAGCACACAGTCTACCTGATGGTAAGTGATTGCTGTGGGCCATAGACACCTATATCTCTCTTCGTTTGCGAATATAAATGCAGATGCGTTGTTGGCCGCGAGGACTAAGATAGAATGCCTCTTTTCCAGTAAAATAGGTCTCCGGTTCTCTACAGTCACCATACGAAACACAGCACAGCATTAAGCTGCTATTTTACGCTGGTATTCCGACCATTCGTGCTACAACTATACTGTTAATATAGCTGCATCCGGCCAGAGGCCGCTCCGAGTGGGCTTAGCGAGCCCACCGATATTTATTGGTGGGCTGCGGCAAAAGGGGCACGTTCACTACCACTGTAGTGAACGTGGAGCCGCGGAGGAAGAGGAGTGTTGGTATGGCAATGCGCGAATCGCCTTATTCTCCGCGACTCTGACGGGTCCGCACCGATGATGCGGTGGTGGTGGGTCTGTGGGGGGGGGGGGGAGTGTCGGTATTGTTGTCGCTTTCCCTACCCGCCGCAGCCGGATCTTGATTGGCGGCGGAGCCATAGACCAGATTCGCCGCTGGGGTCGGGTAGGCTAGTGCTTCTGAGCGCTCCTTTTTTCTGACCCCATGGCCTTCACGCGTCAGACAGAGGGACGTCGGTTGCACAGTTGGAGGCCAGGGAGAAAGGCGCCCCATGTGTTCTGGTGCGCCTTACCTGAGAAAGAGATAAGGGAGGAGTAGTTCTCCCTCCATGGGGGTCGCAATGGGGCGGTCGGCGCTGGTGGGGCCGCGGATGTGTGCGAAAGCGTTCCCGTGGCCCTTCCAATATGCGATGAAGGTGGAACACTATGGGATTTTAGTCGGTGTGAGTCCGACTTAACCCGTCCTAGCCCACGCGAGGCGGTTATGCGTAGGCATTTCCCTAAAGTGGCTCAAGACCGTGTTTTCCCATTCCTTGTTTAGCAGTTGACTTGTGAAGGTCTGTTGTAATGTAATTTTTTGTAGAAACGTTGTGTTTTTAGTACGTAACGCAGTAATTTCAAAGCATTTCTTTCAATCTCCATTCACATATTCTACTGTTTGCTAGAATGTTATGCAGTTGCCGGCCGTGAAAAGAATTTTCTATTGATAGTTATAGACTCCTCGCAAACATAAAATACGTGCCAGATAGGTACCAACTAATTCTGGTGAGCGGATTTTTATACAACTTATATAATTGAACCGCCTAACGACCGACATGTGATGGAAATTAACATTACCAATATGAAATTATTATAACTTTTAACATGAGTAAAAACTGACTTCAAAGTCCAAAAAAAAATGTTATTTATTTGCTACCATGGGTAGATTTTTTTGTCCAAATTTATATGGGCCCACCCTTGAAGTATAAACTATTTAATAAAAAAGGAATCATCAAAATTGGTTCACAATCTTCGAAGTTACCGCGTAAAATACATACAAAAAACATAGACTCGAATTGAGAGCCTCCTCCTTTTTGAAGTCGGATAATAATCGACTATGTACTCATTAATTAAGTTAATAGAAAATTCTGTTATCAATTCTGGCTTAACTTGTTTAATAGCTACGGAGTGAAATATTGGTCCCACATGATAATCGTACGAGGGTGGATTGAAAAGTACTCGGCCTAACACAGATCCATTCAATTCTAAAAATCAAATCTACACACATTATTTAGTTCAGTTCAGACTAGTTCATTGTGCGAAGTTCGAAACGTGTGCGATAATTAGTTGTGATTTTATAAATTTATTAACAAAGTAATCGGACATAATTTCCGCGAATGGAGCAAATCGAGCAGCGTGCCGTCATTAAGTACCTCCATAAGAAGGGGCTATCATCAAAAGCCATCCACGATGACATGGTCAGTACATTAGGCGATTGTGCTCTGTCATATTCATCCGTCAAAAAATGGATAGCAGAATTTAAGCGTGGTAGAGAGAGTGTGAAAGATGAACCCCGGTCTGGAAGGCCTTCGACGTCAACTACTGACGAAAATATTAAAAAAGTACTTGATTTAATAATGGGAGACCGCAGATTAAAAATTAGAGAGATATCCGAGATTATAGGCATCTCTTATGAACGAACTCAAAACATCATTGTCAACGAGTTGGGTTTCCACAAGGTGTCTGCGAGGTGGGTTCCGCGACTGCTTTCAGTTGAACAAAAAAGGACGCGATTGACTATTTCACGCGACTGTTTGGAGTTATTTGAAGCCGATGCAGATGATTTTTTGAATTGTTTTGTTACTATGGACGAAACATGGGTTCATTACTGTACACCGGAAACAAAACAACAATCAAAACAGTGGAGAAGACCTGGTTCACCACCCCCTAAAAAGGCTAAGTCGATTTTGTCGGCAAATAAGGTGATGGCTTCAGTATTCTGGGACTCGAAAGGTGTGATTATGATTGATTATCTTGAAAGGGGTCAGAATATAAACTCTGATTACTACTGCACCTTACTACGTCGTTTACGAGAGGAAATAAAAGAAAAACGTCGAGGAATGCTCAGAAGAAAAGTCCTGTTTCATCAAGATAACGCCCGTGTTCACACGTCAGTACAGTCAATGGCTGAAATTCACAACTGTGGCTTTGAACTGTTACCGCATCCGCCGTATTCACCTGATCTGGCACCATCAGACTTCTTTCTGTTCCCTAACCTAAAAAAGCACTTGGGAGGTTAAAGATTTTCGACAAACGACGAGGTCAAAGCAGCTGTAGACGCATATTTTGACTCTAAGGAAGAATCATTTTTTTTCAACGGTCTAAATGCTTGGAAGGGGAGGTGGCAAAAGTGTATTGAACTTGATGGTGATTATGTAGAAAAATAAAAATATAACTGATTTAGTATTTGTTTATTTTCTTGGTTAGGCCGAGTACTTTTCAATCCACCCTCGTAAAATGTTCGTCACAATGATTGAACCATATCGTAAAGACTACTTTCGACTTTATGACAGACCTATTTATAAACAGGCATATTTTATACATATTTACTCTTTAGATCTGGCACAAACTGATCATACTTAAGAGATATTTCTGACAATCCCACTATCAAGCACCCGAGACTATTAAATTGCTTTGTTTTTTTCCGTGACAACGTTCGTCGGGACACTGTCCAACACATTATCTTAAAATGTATTATAATTTCGCTTAAGCTTTATTGAAGTTACGGTCAAACTGTGACAAATTAAAGCAAATAATACAATATTTATATGAAAACGTCTCTTATAAAGTGAAATGATAATTTTCCAAGTGTGTCAAGTGATAATTTTCCTACAAATTACAATCTTAAAATAACGCCATAAAGATAAAACCAAATAAAGTCATACATTAAACTTACAGGGCGTTGAGTCTTCGTCTACAACTCCACATTCACTACGAGTGTCGTCATTAATTGGTCTGCGCTTGGATTTACTTTTGTTACCTTTTAGAATAAGGTCATCCATATTGTAACATCACATTCAACTGATTAATAATTGTACCTCACACATATATCATATAATGTGTAAATGATTTGAAACGCGAAATACAACTAAGACATTACCTAGAGAATTTGTTGATTAGATAAGAGCTGATAGAATGACGATTTATCAAAAGATACTTTATTACATCGTATTTCAGTTTAGTTGTGCATTTTATATTATTAACATTCCTATTTTACCTGTAGTTGCGGTGTAAGAATAGCCACTACCCCATATCGTCCCGTGACTCCCGTGGGTGTCATAAGAAGCGACAGAGGAGAACTGAAATAGGAGATGGACACCAGCATCTTCCTAATAACAACTCAAAATAATAAAAAACCTGCGGTTGCCAGCCCCCTGCCAAGAGTGGCAAATATCACCTATGAGGCAACCTAAAGGGGAGGCTTGCGTTCAGCAGTAGATATTCATAGGCTGTAATGGTTGGATGGAACATACCTTTTAAAATATGCTCTACAGAATACAATAATACTGAGGCAGGAGATGGATAGTAGCACCTTTCTGACAATGGGAAAAACTATAATATAAAAAATACGGTTGCCAAGTTTGACTACTATGGCAAACATCATTCTATAAGCAATGATATAAAGAAACGGCCCCCAGTCCCCGGCTGCCCTGCTATTCCTGACCACGACCAGGCTTTCGATGGGGCAGGGGATGATAAGAATCTTCGGTGGAAGTTCGGTTGCCACTTAAAACGACTCGATCTGGCAACATTCAAAGCACGCATCCAGAAGACTGACGAGAAGATCCTGGAGCTGGAGGAAGAGATAGAAGTTGCGCTGGCATATTATAGGATTATAGGAGGTTCGAAGAGAGGGGAGGTCCTCAAATCCGTCAACTTGTTCTATCACCGGGCGGGCGACCATCTGTCCCTGGTAGATGTCGGATTTATCATCCACAAGTTTCTCGTTAACAATGCTGTAAAGATTGGGACTGTGTCGCCGAAAGTTACGTACCTTATACTCATAATCAGCAAACGATATTCGTAGAATGTCATACAGGTTTACGCACCAACCTCGGTCCATACCGATGAGGTGCTCTCATACTAATTATATGAGAATATCTCTAGAGCCATGCCATGTATTCCTCCAAAACCCACTATACGGTGTTAAAGGAGACTTCAACGCAAACCTAAGCACAAGAGAGAATGGTGAGCTAAAGGTAGGAAAATTCGGGATATTACAGTTCCTTCAGCGGTGCCAATTTGACTGTAGGTATATCGAAGTGCTGAAGTGTTTGTACAGTAGGGCTAAGATGACTATCCAAGTACAGAACCAGAGTACAAAACCCATCCAACTGCAGAGAGGTGTAAGACAGGGTGACGTTATATACCCGAAACTCTTCACCGCTGCATTGGAAGATATTTTAAGGCTACTGGACTGGAAATGATATGGAATTAACATCAATGGCGAGTACAAAACTCACCTTCAATTTGCCGACGATAGTCTTTCTGGCAGAATCGCTAGAGGACCTCAGCACTATGCTCAATAAACTCACTAATGAACTAACTTTGCTAATAAATAGTAAAAATTTTACATGTACCGTGACAAACCACTATACAACAATATAAGCTGTAGTGTGTGTGTACATACATAAAGACTCACGCCTGTCACCCAGAGGGGTAGGCAGAGACTACGGACTTCCATTTGGCGCGATCCTGACACACCTCTCTCGCCTCTTTTACATCCATATATCTACGCATACACGCTCGTCGGTTAAGGGTACTCCTAATCTGGCCCATTTTTAATGTATCGCCGATTTGGTCGATAAACCTTCGTCTGGGGCGTCCCTTCCCGACCCTGCCGTTCACTTCTGCAACATAAATTTGCTTTGTCACTCTTTCCTCGTTCATTCTTTCTACATGACCAAACCACCGAAGCATTCCTTTCTTAATCCTTGTCACAACGTCATCTTGCAAACCACACTTTTCTCTTATCACACTATTTCTCACCCTGTCATTCAGATTCAGCCCTAGCATACTCCTTAAGGAACGCATTTCTACAGCATTTATTCTACTCTCATGCTTCTTCTGCCAGACCCAACTTTCACTACCATACATTAAAGTAGGGACTAACACAGCATTATGAATTGCCATACGTGCCTTAGTTGACACATTCTGACTCCTCATAATAGCGTGTAGAGCCCCATTCACTCTATTTCCTGCGTTCACTCGTCGTTCTATATCCTTATCATATCTACCATCCCTGCTAAATAAACATCCCAAATATACAAACTCATCCACTTGCTCAATCAACTCCCCTTCTATTCTTATTTCACATAAAGTTTTACTTTCTTCTCTTTCAAAAACCATCACTTTCGTCTTACTTGCGTTCACTTTCATACCCCTCTCCTTCAATGACCAATTCATTAAAGTAACCATCATTTGCAACTCGGCCGCCGACAATGCAAATATGACTTGATCATCGGCGTACAAAAGGCATTTGACGGTTGACTCACCCATTCTCAACCCACATTCTTCAACTTTCAAAGTTTGCAAACAACTGTCCATAAATAGGTTAAACAGCCACGGGGAAGCCACACATCCCTGTCTGACACCTTTATGAATGCCAAACCAGTCCGAGTAGACCCCGAGTAGTGTACCTGTGTATTTATACATGTGAATGTGTAAATGCATACATTTATGCATATATAAAAATGCTATTGTTATTTAAATTACTGTTTAATTTTACAGTAATTTGTAATTTGTTTTAATTGAGTGTATATATTTGTATTAAGCTAATTTTTTTGCATGTTACGAAGTGAGAGCGCATTTTTTTTCTGCCAACAAACTACTAAGCAGTTTGGCAAACTGTAAAACTTTAATGGTGTAAATTTCAAATACATATTAAATAAAATGAAGTGTTTGTTTGTTATGTAGCTTTTTACTAATTGAATATAAAAATATACTATACGGTATTCATAACAAAAACTCAATTTAAAAAAAAAATATGTTTGTTTGTTCTGGCTAATCTCTGAAACGGCTGGGCTGATTTTGACGGGACTTTCACTGGTAGAGAGCTCATATTATAAGGAGTAACCTAGACCACTTATATTTTAGAAAAATAATTAGGGTTCCGCGCAACAAAATTAAAACCCTAAATTACATGCGAGCGAAAGCGAAGTATGTCAATAAAAATAATGTCGATTAACGGATAGGTCTTAAGATTACAAGGGCAGACCAGGGGAATTGCAGATGCGTTGCAATTGAGCTGGCACTAGGGAGCCCCAGCCCAGAGATGGGAACAGTATTCCATGTGAGGCCGAACTTGCGCCTTGTAAAGTTGCACGCGGTGCGCCGGCATGAAACACTGTCCCACTCTACTGAGCAGACCAAGCTTTTTAGAGGCCAATTTAGCCTTCTCTTCTAAGTGACCACGAAACTGCACGTCACTCGATATGTCGACACCGAGGATTCCGATACTGGCTGAGGCAACAAGAGGAATGTCTTGAAACTGAGGAGATACGACAAAGGGTTTTTAGCGGTAAACGCGCAAACTTGTGTCTTCTGAGGATTAAACTGGACTAGATTTAGTCGCCCCCAATCCCAGACTTTGTTCAGCAAAGACTCGACTTTAGACACAAGTTTGTTCCGGTACTCGGCGACGTTTTTTCGAGAAATATTGGCACGGCCGGTGTATAGACCATCACCAGTGCTGTCATCCGCATAGCAATGAATGTTACCGGTTTGCAACATGTCATTGATATGCAGAAGAAACAGATCCAATTGCACAATTTCTCGGGAAGCCCATAGGAAGGAAGCTTCGAAAGAAGCGCTTTGTGCCAGACCCGATCGAAGTCCTTCGCCATGTCAAAACTAACGGCCAATTCCGACCCCTTCTACTCGATCGCTTGTGCTCATCTACGTGTTAGGTAAACAAGAAGATCACCAGCTGAGCGACCCCGATGGAAACCCTACTGGCGGTCACTAATCAGCTGGTGCTCCTCAACTCAAGCTCGAAGAACCAACAACCGATGGGGAAGAAAGGTTCTCGAGTACCGGTAGGCGAAGTGCAGAGCGTCCCTCCAGTAGTCAATGGATGCAGGTGGCTCAGGACCTTGCTTTGTGGCGTTGCTTGGGGGAGGACTGTAATGATGATGATGATGATTTTGAATAATGAGTAGAAAAAAGCCTATTGGCGTACACATTCACATTCACAATACGCGCAAAACATTCAATCATAGGTCACAAGTTGTACATGTTCTGTCAATCATTTGTTCCGGATCGTACAAAAATATGATTGCAATCATCAATACTATTACGCGATTAGGGTCAAATGACCGAATCTTTCACGATTGACACATGTTAGATTCAAAATTAGCTTGATAGTGCTACCGTGATTTAAATGGTTCGATTTATATTTTTTTGTGTTAGTTGTATCTATAGCATCCAAATACCTTTAATAATTGTTTATTACATTGTCTTTGAGCATTTCAGCAGACAAGCTAACGAGTTCTCAGAATGTATTGGATTGGAGATATATTATAGTTCATAATACCTCTATTCTTATATAATATAGAGTATCTCTTTAGCATATTCTATGGTCGCCTCTTACGATCCCATGGGAGGATTTTGGACGAGAGATTCTCTTACGCCGCCACGACACGGAAAATTGGATTGGATTGAGTTGATGATTCGAAAATCTGATTCGAGATGATGACTGATGGCGAAATAACCATCTCGTTTACGCAAGTCTTAAAATACCCAGAACGGCGACGCAAAGCATCGTCAAAGCTGTGAAACGTCTGGTAACGTGATCGTCAATCCAATTGCTAAATTTGACGATTTGGGAGAAAATTTAGAACAAATTGTTCTATGTGCTGCTTTATACAAAAATAATATTTTTTAGAAATCTAAAATTAATTCAACCAATGACACTGTTATTAATAATAACTTATTACCATTGAAAAAATTGTTAATTACGATTGAAATTAAAAATTCTTACTTAATGTATAGTATGTACCTACTATACACGAAAGATTACATC